GCCAAGGCACCAAGGTGACTTCTGAAGCTGGAGCCCCTCAGGGAGCAGGGTGGCAGCACCGCCCCCCTGTCATGTGGAGAGCTGTTGTGGTGGTATTTTCACGTTCTTTACGTTCTTTTCGCAGTGCTTGCTTTATATTTTAATTCTGTTTTGGGGCAACTGGAGGATTTCAGTCTCTGGAGTGCCTGGGAGCGGGGCCTGCTGTGCCCTGTGGGCAGCCCACAAGTCGCTTGCTCCGGTCACACTTGCAGGAGCCCAGTTCTAAATGCCTTCCCCACTGTGTTCCCAGCCTGAATCCATTCACTCCCCAAATCCTAGATCATCAGCACTGGCTTCCTGCTAACCATAACTACTTATGTTTCACCTCCTACTCAAACTTGTATATGGGGAAACAATTTTTAGAGAAAATTTAGTATACATGGCATAGGTATAAAGGTTTGGTAAATTACGTGTCTTCTCAATCTCATGTTTTTTATGTGTGGCTCTTCCCAGTGACAAAATTAGGGACTAGAGCATGCTTTATGCTCTATCCAGTAATATCCTGGCTTAATAGGCCTTTAATGAGGCTTCCATTCAGTACACAAGGATCAAAGTGAATTCGAGACTTTATGAAAGTTTAAAACTCGGTTTCTCCCCTCAATAACTTTCAATCAAGCATATATTATTCATATATCCTGTTTATTCATCCTAATGCAGCATACTAAGCTGTATCTATTCAAACCCTGTTCAGAACAGATCAAGAAACATGGTTTGGTACATTAATTAGAAGCGGGGGCCCTTTTGGCACTCTTGGTACATGGAACATATTTTTCCATTGTGTTAAACATCTCTTTTTTCCCCCTCTCACAGCAGTCCCAAAGAAGAAGAAGGCAGGCACGGGTAAAACTCTCCCTTTTTTGACCAGACGTGCTGTCTCATCTGGCAGCTGTGGGTACGCCTGGCCCCTGCTGGGTGGAGCCGGAACTGATGGGTCTGGTGTGACCATGGCCCAAACCGATTCCCCCTTTAATCGAGGATTTTGGACCCAAGCTTAGGGAAAAGCAGCTCCTTGCTGCTAGGAAGCTCCAGGTGGCAGAAGCCTCCAGCATCGTGACAAGTGGCAGCTGCGAAACTGCGCATGGGGTGCGTGCTGTGTCTGTAAAATCTGTGTGTGTTCTCTCCCACTCACATTTAGTTTAGTGATTTGTTCCTGGAACGGAATCAGGTGAAATCTGTGGGATTATGTATGCCAAGGGCTGCCCCAGCTCAGACCAGTTGCCAGTTCATAGCTTGAGCACTTACAGTACTGAAAATACCTGAATGACGTGCATGGTGAGGACCCTCAGGCTGATTCCTCAGTAGCTTCAGATGACAAGGGTCTGCAGCCAGTATACAGCCTGTCCCCACAGTGGCTCCTCACTGGTGTAGTGGATCTGAAGAAGCTGGGGCGGTTTGTGTAAGCATGGAGCAGCTGTTTTTAATGTGAATTGAGCCTGAGCACTCTCAAGGTGGCACCAAGAGGACCAAAGCCAGTGACAGAAGGAAGGGGCCTACCAACCCTCCTCTTAGTCTTCCCCACACGTAGCCAGAGAGTTGTTAAGCTCTCAGAACAATAAAAAGATATAAGCATGGTTTCGATTGCAGTACAACACAAAGTATTACGATGCCTTTAAGAAAAAAACCTGCAGGTATCCTTGTGTAGTGACATTCCTGTCAGATTCAGAAAGTGGATCACCTTTCTTCCTTCACCCCCTCATTCAACACGTCTTCCTCTCTTGCCGTTCTCCAAAGCAGAAAGGAAGTCATCCCACCTTCTCCCATTAAAGGAAAAACAAACGAGTGCTTCGGTGTGGTTACAGAACGACAGGTATTAGATGAAGATATGGTAGCTTCCAGTGAAGCAAGTCCACCTGATACCACTTCCCTTCCTCCAGCTTCATCCAGTCTGCTCTGAACACGCAGCCGCCCCCTGAGAATCACAGCTAACTCAGATGCCGCCGGTTTCAGTGCTGTAGTGGTATTTCCCTGGCTGGTGGCTTTGTCTGCATCACCCCTTGCTTTGCACCCTTCTGTTGGATCCTGGGCCCTGAAATCTTTTTTTTTTTTTTTCCCCTTTAAAACCTTCTGCACTGTTAGGTTATGTGATGAAGTGCTCTTCTCCACCCATGCAAAGGAAGGCAGAGGAGCAATGGTGGGTGGAGGAACCTGAGAAATACCCTGCCTGTTTGCTCCCAAGCCAGTGGCAGGGCTGTCAGCCCGCTGAAGACCCATCTCCACACACACGAAGTAGCACGGAGGCACAAGGGCAGGTGGGGGAGCCCCAATAACCCCTTCAGAGACACGGTCCCTCCCAGACCTCTCCCAGGAGAGCCTCAGCACCCTACAGATGGGAGGGGCCACTGCCTGGGGGCAGGGGCACACTGTGAGGTGCAAGGGAAGAGGATTTTCAGATTGCACAAGACCTGCTATGGGATGTTCAGGGGATGAGCCCAAGATGGGGAAAAAGGAAGGATAAAGGTGGAGAGGAGCACGCATGGAAAAGCAGAGGCATAAGGGGATAAAAGGGGACAGTCACAATGTAAACAGGGGTGGTCAGTGCGCTTCCCTGTCCGTGCCCTGTGCCTGCTGAGCATCGTCTGTCCTATCTTCTCTTAAACTCCATTTCTACCTTTTTTTTTTTTTGGGGGGGGGGAGGAGGAGTGAGTGGTGCTCTGTTCTGCGTGCATGCGTGACTATGGGAGTTCTGCTTCTAACCTCTTTGCTGCGTCACGTCACGTGGGAGGGGCAAATCCTCTGCCGTCTTACCAACGGAAGGCATTTCTTTACATCTTCAAAACGTAAGCCCTCGAAAATAGTTTTGAAAGAATTTAAAAATTCTTTTAAAATGCAACAAGAAAATGCATACTGAAGGGGTAAACTGTGAAAGGAAATGGCGTGGGTAGTTCGGCTGTATGTCGTGCTCTCTGTGGTGAGAAAGAGATTGGCTTGATAGTAATGATCATGAAAGAGATGG